GTCGCTGTGTAAAAGTTGGCGGGGAAGCCGAGTCGGCGGGCGAGCACCCGCTGTAGCCGCCCCGCCCCGCCCCGCCCCGAGGATGGCGTTTGGAGCAGCCTGGGCTCCACAGCGCGAGACAGGCCAGCCGGGGTTCTAGACATACGTGGTCCCGGTGCAAAAAATTAAAAGATAACCGAACTGACGCACAGACTGACAAAATAATCTGAAACTGACTCTAGACGTGCGGGCAAAATCTCACTGTTTTCAACCTGAAGATGACTCCTTAGCTGGGTGAGAATTGAGGGGAAGGTTTTCCCATCAGACTCAGATATTCACAAGACTCTTCGAAATTGAATGTACTCCAACCGTTTTTATGAAGCCCAGGTTTGTGTGTGTGTGAGAGAGAGAAAGAGACAGAGAGTGTTCCTTCCCTATTCAAAAAACAAGCATTTAATGCCCTATGTACGTATCAATTACACATAGTACTTTTCATTGTTACATTTTCATATATGGATATGTATGTCTCCTCTACCCTAAAACCTATTCCTCTTTCCAGCCAGACCTCTGTGTGTGTGTGTGTGTTGTGTGATGTGTCATTGGATTTCATTAGGGCTGCTTACAGGAGCGTGGGTAAACAGACTAGAGTTTTGTTTCTCACTAGTCTTCCCTCATCAGCCCTTATCTGTTAAGTCCTCGGGGACAGGTGAGATCCATAAACCCCCAACACATAAGCCTCTAAAGGCAGGAACAAACTAGGAATTGGGAAGTTGGTGCGTCCTCTCAATAAATTCCAAACTTCCTCTGACCCCTTTGCCTGTCATTAGATTATTCCTGCAGCTTAGTCTGAACCTGCTTCCCTTTTCACTGAAATCATGCTGATCCTTCAGTACCCAGTACAAACACAGCTTTCTTCCTAAAACTGCCATGCTGGCTTATGTCAGCCTGACACAAGCTAGAGTTATCTGAAAAGAGGGAGCAACAATTGAGAAAATGCCCCCATGAGATCCAGCTGTAGGGCATTTTCTTAATTAGTGACTGATGCCCAGGGCCCAGTCCATTGCAGGTGGTGCCATCCCTAGGCTGGTAGCCCTGGGTTCTCTTATGAAAGCAGGCTGGGCCTGGCATTGGTGGCACACGCCTTTAATCCCAGCATTCGGGAGGCAGAGGCAGGGGGATCTCTGTGAGTTCGAGGCCAGCCTGGTCTCCAGAGTGAGTGCCAGGATAGGCTCCAAAGCCACACAGAGAAACCCTGTCTCGAAAAACCAAAAAAAGAAAGAAAGGAAAGAAAGAAAGTAGGCTGACAGACTGATAGCTGGGAAACCAGCATGGGCCTGATCCAGACCCCCTGAATGTGGGTGTCAGTGAGGAGACCTTGGAAATCTATGGGGCCCCATGTAGTAGATCAGTACTTATCACTAGCATAGGAATGGACTTTAGGAGCCCATCTCACATGGAGGGAGACTCCCTGAGCCTAGACACAAGGGGGTTGGCCTAGGCCCTATCCCACAGATTATGACAGACTTTGAAGACTGGCTATGGAAGGCCTCACCCTCCCTGGGGAGCAGAAAGGGTATGGGATAGGTAGGGCATTAGTTGGGGGGGGGGTAAAGTGGGAAGGAGAGGGACCTGGGATTGACATGTAAAATAATTTTCTTCCTAATAAAAAAATAGAATCTGAAATGAAAAAAAAGCAGGCTGAGCAAGCCATGAAGAGCAAGCCAGTAAGCAGCACCCGTCCGTGGCCACTGCATCGCTCCTGCCTCCAGCCCTGCTTGAGTTCCTGCCGCCAGCCCTGCTTGAGTTCCTGCCCTAACTTCCTTCAGTGGTGAACAGTGATGTGGAAATACAAGCCACACAAACCCTTTTCTCCCCAGGTTTCTTTGGTCATGGTGTTTCATCATAGCCATAGTCTCCCTGACTAAGACAACCAGCCTATTCCCAACCTCTCTTATTTGTTTCCTGGATCTTTCTTAGAGTTTAGTTTTAAAATTTCACTTTGGGGATTTTTGCCATGTCTTAGATTGTTCCCCAAGATCATATTCAAAAGTTCCTTTCGAATAAAACCCAATTTATCTTTGCCACCACAGTTAAAACTCCCTAGTGCCTTTGCACATAGTAGTTTGTAAGCCAGATCATCTTTGGGGATAAAAGTGCAGTCTGGCCGGGCGTTGATGGCACATGCCTTTAATCCCAGCATTCGGGAGGCAGAGGTAGGTGGATCTCTGTGAGTTCGAGACCAGCCTGGTCTCCAGAGCGAGTGCCAGGATAGGCTCCAAAGCTACACAGAGAAACCCTGTCTCGAAAAAACCAAAAAAAAAAGAGTGCAGTCTGGGGAAGGGGCTGGTCCTACACTTTCCTTGTTCCACTGGTTCTCAGGATAATAATTCTGTTACTATTTATCTTAGAAAACAGAACTAAAAAAAATACAGGATTTTTAAAGTTTGAGTGCAAACTATTAATTAGCAGATGACTGTCAAATTACCACTGTTTAGCCAAGCCTTGTGCCATATTTTATAATAAGCAATTAAAAATCATTTTCTCATACAAGGAAGCTGTGTAATGTGATTATTCTAGATGTTTTTGTAATATTCCTTGTCTTCAGTTGTTTGGTTATTTCGAGTACTGGAAGTTTAAAGATGGGCCCCATCCAGCTAAACAATGTGTCCTTTGACAGTCTGCTTTTGTCTCCTTGCTTTTCTCATTGTCAGTCCCGTGTGTCAGTGATCCAGGTCTCCGTCTGAGGACCATTCATCTACCACCTTACTTTCTATGACTCAGTGCCTGTTAGCCTTCCCATCTTTCCTTTTCCAGCTTAAACTGCAGCATCTGCCATCCAAACCCTCGCCATTGCCCTTCGTTCTGTCTCCCAGATGTGTACATGCACCCACACAGTTGCTCTCATCTTTCTTAGGAGCTCGGCTGTGCATGCCGAAGGAAAGAAGTCCCAAGATGTGACTAGTAACTCCGCCACCATACCACTCCCCAAAACTTGCTCCAAATTTTAGAATTTCTCCAACCTCCTCTGACTACACCTTCATGCCCACCCTTAGGAGCAGAACTCATCTCATGTAAGATGTCACACATCAAATTTCCTGTCACCCAAACAGCCACAGGAAATGTTTCTCATTCTGCCAGGTTCAACTTGAGTGATGTAACACAGTTTTCTCAGGAGTTCCCTTTCTCAATGATGCAGGATGACTACATATTTGCCTTTAAAAGTAAATATTCTTGGGATTGGAGGGTGGCTCAGCAGTTAAGAGCACTGGCTGCTCTTGCAGAGGACCTGGGTTCAGGAGCACCTACATGGTAGCTCACAGCTGTAGGGGAAGCTGTAGCCACGCCTTCTTAGGGGCTGGCTACAGGAGTACCTGAGGGCTTGTGAGGGCGTGGTCAGAGTGAGTAGGGGGACTGCGTTTCGGTTTCTCTTTTTGCTTCTTGCTGTACAGACTACCACCGGCTGGCTGGTTCGCTCTGTAAGTAAGGCTTTTCCCTATTAAATACCCTTATATTTCTACCTGACTCCGTATTGGTAATTTCCTACTATACACAGCCTTGTGTATCTCTAGTTTCAGGGAAATCTGGCACCTTCTCTGTCTCTACAGGCATCGAATATGCACAGACATACATGCAGACAAAACATGCATGCACCTGCTCTCTCATGGCATCTCTGCTCGAGTTCTATTTCTCTTTTGGGCTCATTAGGATACTTGTTACACACCTTCTAATCAAAAGTGCTTTTATAGAAAGCCATCTCTCCCTCTCTGAATCATGGGGGCCAAACGGTTTCTTTCAGCAGCGTCTTGACTTAGAACATTTTCTGATGAACACATCTTCCCATATGGTCATGTGATTCTCTCCTCCACTGTTGTCAGTGCCACAAGAAAGCCACCCCGGCTGGGTGATGGTGGTGATTTCGGTTTGTTTATTTGGGTTTTATTTAGAACCAATTGTTAGTATTGGGTAGAATATATTTTTCCATCTCATTTCCGACTTCTTTGCATCTATATGTTTTAGTTGTTTCTCTTAACAACACACTTTGTTGTGTCATAACCCTCCTGCACATCAAGATCTTCTATTGCCATAAATTTACATAAAGTATACATTTTTAACTCTGAGGTGCAATGAATTTTGACACCTCTATAAACCACTTCTAAAGTCATAACACGTTTTTTGACACGACAGGGATCCATGTTCCCTTTCCCAGCTGTCCAGTCCCCAGCTCCCAGAGCCAGCCACTGACTTGGTTGGTCAGCAAGTAACAATTTACAGTGCATCTCTTTTGTTTCATAAGACTGGAATTACACTGGGTGTACTTTTTAAATTTATTTAACTTATTTATTTTATGTGCATTAGCGTGAAGGTGTCAGATCTCCTGGAACTGTAGTTACAGACAGTTGTGAGCTACCATGTGGGTCCTGGGAATCAAAACCCGGGTCCTCTGGAAGAGCAGCCAGTGCTCTTAACCACTGAGCCATCTCTCCAGCCCCCCAGGGTGTTCTTCTTAAAATCTGTTTCTCTCAGCATCTTGTATACACATCATTATTGTCCATAATTTTGGGGAATTCTTTTATTCCTTAGCACTTATTCTTTGCATAGATATAAAAATGGTCTATCCATTCATGAGAGATTATGTTGTTTCTGATTTAAAAACCATTTTAAAAATTTCCTAGGTCTTTTATGTTTTCTTCTTTGTCTCATGATAATAACTTAATCTACCTGGTAAAATTAGTTGAGAAATAATTTTCTGCTCATCTCTGAGTTTCTGTAGAATTTCCATTATTTGTGCCTTAATACTTAAGCCTACGGTTTTCTCTGGGGATGCTTTAAATTAGTAGTTAAATTTGTATTGGCTAAAGATTTTATTTTTCTAGTTTTAGTTCAGTCTGATAATTTGTTTCTTTTTTTGCTGACTTTTTTATTTAAATTAGAAACAAGATTGTTTTACATGACAATCCCAGTTCCCTCTGCCTCCCTTCCTCACCTACCACCCCCACCCCAACTAAAACCCTACCTATCACCTATCCTTTCTGCTGCCCCTGGAGGGTGAGGCCTTCCATAGGTAGTCATCGGAGTCCATTGTATCCTTTGAGATAGGGCCTGGGCCCACCCCCCACGGTGTGTCTTGGCTCAGGGAGTATTCCTCTATGTGTAGACTAGGGATAAGTACTGAACTATTACAGGAGGTCCCATAGACTTCCAAGGTCTCCTCACTGAAACCCACGTTCCTGGGGTCTGGATCAGTCCCATGCTGGTTCCCCAGCTATCAGTCTGGGGACCAAGAGCTCCCCATTGTTCAGGTCAGCTGTTTCTGTGGGTTTCACCAGCCTGGTCTGGACCCCTTTGCTCTTCACTCGTCCTTCTCTGCATCTGGATTCCAGTTCAGTTCGGTGATTATTTGTGGGTATCTGCTTCTACTTCCCCCAGCCGCTGGATGAAGGCTATAGGATTGCATATAAGTCAGTCATCAATATCATTATCAGGGGAGGGCACTTAAGGTAGCCTCTGTTGCTTAGATTGTTAGCTGGTGTCATCTTTGTAGATCTACGGACATTTCCCTACTGCCTGATTTCTCTGTAAACCTAAAACGTCTCCCTCTATTAGGGTATCTCCTTTCTTGTTTTCTTCTATTCTTCCCCTGACTCAACCTTTCTGCTCCCTCATGTCCTCCTCACCCCTCCTCTTCTCCCCTTCTCATTCTCCTAGCTCCCTCCCCCCTCCTCCCTTTCTCCCAATTTGCTCAGGGGATCTTGACCCTTCTTTCCCCTTCTCCAGGGGACCATGTATGTATCTCTTAGGGTCCTCCTTCTTTCCTAGCTTCTCTGGCAGTGTGGCTTGTAGGCTGGTAATCCTTTACTCTATGTCTAAAATCCACATATGAGTGAATACATACGATGTTTGTCTTTTTGTGACTGGGTTACTTGCTCAGAATGGTTTCTTCTAGTTCCATCCATTTGCCTGTGAATTTCAAGATTCCATTGATTTTTTTTCTGCTGAGTAGTACTCCATTGTGTAAATGTACCACATTTTCTCTATCCATTCTTCAGTTGAGGGGCTTCTAGGATGCTTCCAGGTTCTGGCTATTACAAATAGTGTTGCTATGAACATTGTTGAACAGATGTCCTTGTTGTATGAATGTGCTTCTTTTGGGTATATGCCTAGGAGTGGAATTGCTGGATCTTGTGGTAGACTGATTCCCATTTTCCTGAGGAGTCACCAAACTGATTTCCAAAGTGGCTGTACAAGTTGGCACTCCCACCAGCAGTGGAGGGGTGTTCCCCTTTCTCCACATCCTCTCCAGCATAAACTGTCATTGGTGTTTTTGATTTTAGCCACTCTGACAGGAGTAAGATGATAATTTGTTTCTTTAAAGAAATTTTTCTAGGGGCTGAAGAGAAGGCTCAGTGATTAAGAGCACTGGCTGTACTTCCAAAGATTCTCAGTTCAATTCCCAGCAACCACAGGGTAGCTCACAACCATCTGTAATGAAGTCTGGTACTCTCTTCTGGACTGCAGAAATATATGCAGACAGAACACTGTATACATAATAAATAAATCTTTTTAAAAAAATGAAAAGAAAATTTTCTTTTTGTTTTTCTACTTGGCTTAAGTCATCAAAACTATTAGTAAATAGCTTTCCAAAGTTTTCTGTTACCATCCTTTGAATGGTTTTAAAGAACGTAGTTACAGCCGGGCGTTGGTGACACACGCCTTTAATCCCAGCAGAGGCAGGCAGATCTCTGTGAGTTCGAGACCAGCCTGGTCTACAAGAGCTAGTTCCAGGAGAGCCTCCAAAGCCACAGAGAAACCCTGTCTCAAAAAACCAAAAACAAACAAACAAACAAAAAACAAACAAAAAAATGTAGTTACAATTCTCTGTTGGTCTATGTACTTGTTAGCTAGTCTTCAATGCAGCTTTAATTTATTGATCTTTTTAAGAACCATTTTGTGTAGCCAAATATAGTGGTGTGTGCCTGTAATCCTAGCATTTATGAGTTGAGGCAGGGAAAGTGAAGGCAGCCTGAACTACATAGAAAATTCAAGGCCATCCTGGGCTTCACAGGGAAAACAAGAATCTCAAAAACCAGGATGGGAATTTAAGGGGATGGCTCAGTCAGCAAAAATGCATGCCTAGCAAGCCTGGGGACCTGTACTGGACCTCCAGAACCCACACAAAAACACAAGGTGTCCTTGTTGGAGGAAGTGTGTCACTAGGGGTGGGCTTTGAAGTTCCAAATGCTCAAGGCAGGCCTAGTCTCTCTCTCTCTCTCTCTCTCTCTCTCTCTCTCTCTCTCTCTCTCTCTCTCTCTCTCTGCAGATACAGATGTAGAACTCTCAGGCTCCAGCATCATATCTGCCACCATGCTTCCCACTATGACAACAATGGACTAAACCTTTGAACCTACAAGACAGCCCCAGTTAAATGTTTTCCTTTATGAGTTACCATGGTCATGGTTCCTCTTTACAGCAATAGAAAACCTGACTTAAGACTGTTCTAGTAACCAAAGCACTTACCACTTCTGGCAAACTAGTCCATATTCCTTCAGTCTGTTT